ACCGCGCCCAGCTGCGGCGGTCTCTGCTGTGCTTTCGCCAGTTGCAGCCGTTTCGCGCGCGGGTCTGGGCGCGCTGGCAAGACGGGCAGTGTTTTCAGTTATGCGGAGGTTCCTTGCGGAAGCCTCTACCGTTTCCCGTAAGACCCGGTCTCTGTCGTCGGAGCATGGGGAGCCAGCGCCCGCACGCAGGATGGCGCGGAGCATACCAGGTGTGAGGTCCTGGAAAGGGGGCATCGGGGGCCAGTGCGCTGTCCGAGCGCGCCGCTGGGCTGCCTGCGAGCTGTCGGAGTTGGGCGCGAGCCGCGTCCGCCGTTAGTGCCGCAAAGCGTGCGCGCATTCTTCTACCCATGGGGTTGCGCGCCCCAGGGGGAGGATAGGTGCTCCAATAGGCGCTGAAGGCGTCTGGTACTCTCATTGACATGCCAAGTTCTTCATGCAGGTCCCGCACAGTTTTGTCAAGTTGCGGTATCGCGGCGGCCCACGCTATCGTGCTCAGCGCCCGATTCCACTCTTCTGCGGTGGGAGGACTGCCTGTGCCATCTGTGGCTTGGGTTTGCGCTTTTGTCTCAACGTGTGCGCCATTGCCTCGCACTCTCGCCGCCAATCCGAATCCATGCACGGCGGGGGCTCAAAGCCGTTTCTTGGGGCGTCTCCTCGACCAAGGGGGTCGCTACTGCATCTTTCCACCGTGCCGGGAGGCGGTCTTCTGGCCTGGGCTGGGGGCGGGTCCGTCGAGGCCTGTGGAGGTGCGGTTGTCAGGGATCCCTCTCTCCTCCTGCCCGCTGTCCTGGTGGCTTCTGGTGTGCTTCGCCTGCTCCTGGCAGCCTCTGGCGCCGCGGCGCTCCCGCTTCCTGCTGTGGGCTGCTCCGGGCTCGCTCGCGCGACTGTTGGGGAGGTCGGATCACTTCTGGGGGGATCTGTGGCAATGGCGGTCTCGGGACTGCCCGAAGTGCCCGTCCCGTTCTCTCCTGCTGGCGCGGCGGGGGCGCCCGCCAGCACGGGGCCATCTGCACTCCCAGGGCTCCCCCCCCCTTCGGCTGGAGGTGCCTGGATCTGCCCCGCTACCCCGCTAGGTGGCGCGGGATTCATTGGGGCCCCCTGCGGGGGCACTTGCCCGGTGTTACCTCCGCAGCTTCCGCCGCTGCCCACCGCTCCGTCTCCTCCTGGCGCGCTGCCCAGGGATGGCGGTACCGCAGCCACGCCTGGTGCTGGCGCCGTTGCCTGTGGTTGTGCCCCACTTGCCTCTGCAGCCCGGCTGCCGTCAGCCCCGGTAGCGTCTCTGCTGGTCTGCTGGCCAATCGCCGAAGGGCCTGCGCCCGCCTGCTCTGGTGGCGCTGTCGCCGCCGTGGGGCCTGCGGGGAGCGCTGTCGATCCTGGGCTTGGGGCAGCCGGTGAACTTTCGGCGCTGGCTTGCGTTCCTGCTGCGGCGGCCGCGGGGTTTACTCGGCTGCGACTTCTGCGACCGTCAGCGCCTGGGGGGCCGACGTGCCTGTCTCCCGCATCCGCGGTCCTGGCCGCCTGTGAGCCTCCTCTCCGTCCTCGAGTCACTCTGCCAGGATCGTGGCGCTGCCGTCCTTCCCAGTGGAGGTTGGAGAGCCTGTTGATCAGGGCGTCCAGGGCGGCGGTGACATCTTCTGGGATGGGATGTGAAGTGGCAGCGTCCACTTCGGCTCCTCTCGATCCAGGGACTTCGAGCCATGGCTGGTGTGCCGAGTATGTGGCGTCAGGTTCGGGCGCGAGCCACTGTGTGAACGAGAGCTGTCTTGTGACTTCCTCTCGGATCCCGAGCTCACGAATGAGTTGCCACACGTGGTCACGGTCCAGGTTCCTCGGATTGGCAAGCTGCAGGATCCAAATGGCAGCGAACATGTCCCAGTTGTATCTCTGCATGGGCCGGCCTTCCAGTTGTCTGCGAATTTCGAGCGCGATCCGGCGCTGCACACCCCGGGCCATGTCGCGGACCAATTGCTCAGGGACAACTGCGACAAACCTGCCCAGCATGCCTCGCGCGATCCCTAATGCATCCTCGTCTGCTCGTACTAGGTCACCCAGGGAGGGTCTGCATGTGCTAACAAGGACCTCAGCAAGCTCTGGGAAGTGGGTAGGTCTGGCTGGACTAGGGAGTGGGTTAAGAGAGGCTGTGGTGCGTCTGGGGAGAGGTTGCTGGCTGGGTACGTTGACCTGCAGCCCCAGGGAGGCGGGGGATGGGGTCACCGCGGGCGTGGAGTCCAGTCGCGCGACGTGGATTGCGCCGGCGGCCAGCTGGAGCTTCAACCTGGCTTGTGGTCTGTCTTCGCCTCTTGTGGCCGCTCTGATGTCTGCATCGGCGGGGAGGAGTATCGCCACCCAGGTCGCACCTCTCATGGCCTCAGCTGCCTGAGCGTGGGGGCTGTCTCTGGCGTGCCACCAGCGCCTACTCAGGTCTACGTCGTTTCGGGTATCGCTCATTGCCTGGTCGAGGTCGTCGCCGCCAATGGTGTTGTTCAGCCAGCTCAGATCA